GCCTGCTTGTCTCCATGGAGTTAAATTAAATGTCACATTGTAGAACATTTCAGGAACAAACAACATGGAGTTAAGCAGGTGAGGGGCCCCCTACTAGAAAAGCTGCACCATGCACCTTTAAAGGAAACGACTAAAACAACTGTATCTTTTGTTGAGTTGAGTTCTGAACCAAAATGTCTTATGATTTTTTTTTTTTACCAAGATTTTGATCCCTACAGTGGTATGCTTGACATTTGTAAATTGTGTGATGACATTTAGAAACTATTAAGAAGATAGAACATTGCTGCCAGCCACTGGGAGCCATGCAGCCTTAAAGTGTGGTTTGAAATAATACATTAAACACTGCAAAGATGTTGACTATTTTAGTTAACCAAACTGTCTGTATAGGAATTGTCATGCTACACTTTTCACATGTAACCAGCGTCTTGATCAAACTTTGCATATTTGGGTAATGACGGATAACTTAGTAGAAGCCAGATTAATATGTTTTACATAAAATAAATTTGGGACAGCTCTTGGTGAAAGTGACCAGGGAAAAGCAGGAGATCCAGACAATAGGGATACACCAATCCAGCTTTTCAGTTCCGATACAGATTTCGATGCTATGGCTTTCTGTCAATACCCAGTATCAACTGATTCAGGGAGTGAAAACATTTATTTCCATTAAACAAAAATAAAATATGACAAAACAGCTCCAAATGTGTGATGGAGCTATTATCTCATTTATCTCTTAAGTAACAACAGAACAGATTTGTGTAAATAAAAGTAGAATATTGAGTATTTTTTCACCAATTTAAGTGCCTTTTGTATGCCAGTTTGTATGTCCAACCAGGATATCGACTGAATCGATATGTGGAAGCCGATATCCAATCAAGCTAATTTTTCAGTATCACTGCCGATATCTGATACCAGTGTGAGATCGGTGCATCCTTAGTCCAGACCAATTCTTGAAGCTGATTGGGTGAAGCGTCAGTTCATCTTGCTCTTGAAGGCAAGGTGATGAGAGCCCACCAAGACAATCCCACAAAAAAGACCTCTCTGAGATTTTAGACTGGCAACCTGCCTCCTGAAAATTTGATCAGAAGAGTGTAGTAAAAGTTGACAAAAGGGACAGGGTTTCTGGATTTTATTAAACTGCTTTGCTCGAATATAGTGGCCTATACCCTGTCAGCTTCACTCTAACTCTAACTCTAACTCTAACTCTAACTCTAATGTTTGTAACACCTGTGTTTTTTCTAGTTTGGCAAGCTCCAAATCATGTGTGAAAAATGCTCCCATTAGTTTAGCAGTGCTCTTGCCATACTTCATTACCTCTGCCAATGAATCTTAACACTTTTGCTGACAAGACCATTTGGAATAGAGGATCTTGTTGGGTGCTTTTTTAATGTTATGTCCACAGTACACTTATTTCCATTAATGAACTTCACAGTACAAGGATTATACTAAGGTACATTCAAATTACCATAAAAGACTGGATATTGATTTGACTTGAAATTAGAGCTGCATTTTTTGGTTGATTGTGATTATTCAGGTCACATTCAGGTTCATCATAATTAACAAATCCTGTTAATATTTTGTGGTTTAGTATGACTATGCGGTTCACAAATACAGTGAGGATCTTTCTTATAACAAATGAATATAACCCAGGAATACAGGCCTCTTGAGGTTGTTTTACATATTGGACTATCTATCTATGTATCTAGCTATCTCTACTTCTATGTGTCTATGACTATCTAATTTAAATTATGCAGTGGTGGTAGGTACTAAGTACCAAAAGTCACCACCACTGAAATTATACATTGACTTCAAAGTATTGCCAGTTGTTACAGATCCCTTGCTTCCCCGCAGCATCAATGCGTTATTCAGCTCAGACTTTGTAGCTTAACTCATTAAACCAAAAATTTGTCTGACCTGTGTCTGGATTTAATATGGAGCTACCACAGATCCACTGGTGACTCGTGTCGTTAAAACTTGTTTGGTAAAAGTTTTTTAGTTTATTCAGTGTGCAAATGTTTTAGCTGCTGTATAATGCAGCTGTGGGAGGAAGTATCCTGGTTCATTCCCCATGTCCTAATGGGGATGGCGATGTTGTGCCCTGGGCAATGGTCCTCTGTAAGAAAGAACTATGAGATTTTAACAATTCAGTTCCAGCAAGTTTCTACAGCTACGTTCCTGTACAGTATTTTACAAAAATATTGCACAAATATTGGAGAGAATGTTTACAGATTCTAGAGAAACTGTTCCATTCTGGATTCTGGCTGGAACTAGAGAAACTATTTCCAACTCCTAGGGCTGAATTCAACAAAATGTATGTTTTCTTTTGTTTTGCCTGAGCACACATTCTATTCTGCAGCATGTCACAGGGGCAGCTGCCTGAGCAGAGACTCTCTTACCTCTCTCTCCTCGTACGCTCCATGGCATTCTAGTGTCAGCGTGGCAGGCTTCCCCCGGGCTTAATCCAGATGAAACCCGCCAGGAACACTTTCCATGAAGACGTCTATGAAAGTATATGAAATGGATGCTTGAACTGCCTCTGCTGGCTTTTGTAGAACCTGCCAACTTTTGGGATGTAAATAAAATAACTATATTTTCCACACCTTGTTTTTATTTTATTTTATTTGAGTTGGCAATTTGAGCATTTAATTAAGACAACACCCATATGCACAGTAAGATGTACTATCTGCCAAATGTAAAGTCATATACATTATATAATAGAAATAACTAAACTGCTATTCTGCTTTTCATCGCTATAAATTACTCATAACACTAAATATTTAATCAACCAATGAGCAAAAAGAATTTGTGCAATTAGTGTCTCTGATCAAGCAAAAAATCTCTCTAATATCAGCTGGCATTGTTTACTCCTGCCAGTTGCGTACATTTAAATAAATTATCCAGGCAGTCCAATTTCAATATGCCACAACTGTTCATGTCTTCTAATATATTCCCTGTGTAGCTTGTGTAGTGTGCATGCTAAGGCTGAGTGTATGAAGTGTAATGAGCTGAAGCCATTGTTCCATCTATAATATTAGGAAATGTCAACATGTGCCTTAATGTGACTGGCAAAAGCATAATTTTGTTTGCACATGCCCTCAACGATTACTACCTTTCTACTTCAACATAATGTAATCGTGTTGTGTATCGCATCAAGTGCACAGCTGAAGTGGTTTGATTTTAGCCCTGACCAGTGCACACTGTCTTTGTGTCCTTGGGCAAGACAGATCACCAACCTAGCCTGTATGAATGTATTATGTGAATGGAGATGATTGGACACCTTAGAGACTTGGGTAGTCAAAAAGTCTAAAGTTAAATAGATAATAATTGATAACAATGAAACTAGTGTCAAAATACTCACCTCAACAAATTTCAGTATTTCAATTATGTTGTTCAATGTCATAATAGGGAAAATGTATGGACATGGGTAGGTCTGTCAAGGGCCGCGGATTACAGAAGTTTATAATTACAAGTATGTGAAGTTGATGATTAATGGCTTTTAGTGTCACTTGTACTGTAATAGCTGTAGATTAATCTGTCAAGTTCACTCATAAAAACACATACAAATGTTGAGGGGCTCATATGTGTCAGCACTTGGATATAAACCTGTGTATTTTGTGTCACTATAGAAGTGGAGTTCCCTTTATGTGAATGAGTATTTGTGTTGACTATCTTGTCTGTGTTGTGAAGGTGACATTATTTGATTGGGAAAGGCTTTGCTTTGGTGTACACAATGCAATTACTGATCCAACAATACCTGGACTGTCCCTGCCCCGCTCACTTTGTCTGGTCGTCATTATATTTGATTTGGCCCGCTCTTATCTCTATAGGATGGAGGCCTCCCGGTGATAGTGTGTCTGAACAAAGGCCCGTATTAAATAGTTTAAAGCCCTCCGGTGCCCAATGCTGTTGTGTCCTTATCTCAACCCTGACGCTCTCATCGACTTCAGGCGTTTTATCGAGTCACATCACCTTCATGCACACAGGTTCAGCTTGACTTGTGTCTATTACAGCAAATGACCAGTACTCCCCACTCAGCCCATGTGTAGGTGACACTCATTAGCCAAGTTTATTCAACCTTTTAATAGTGAAGAGTACTTTGAAAACAGCAAGGACAAGCACATGCCTCAGTGACTCACCTGTGCAATACTTACCACAACAACTTAATTCTTTTATTTTATTTTCAAGAGCTACATTTAGCTTCCTATAAAATGTATCGAGACTCTACTTGAATAAGATGTGTCGCATTTGCTGGTTGGGATACTTATGTATTTATTTATTATTTATGATTTAATTATACATATTTATTATTTCATTATAAATAA